TGAATGAGTTCCTATATACCAACAGAACTCATTGAAACCAATGCCATGTTTAGAATTTGCAAAACAGAAAAATTCACCTGCCAAAAGACGACGTGGAGAATTCTTCATATAAGGGAACAAATCAACTCATGGCTAGTTTCAATTTGGAACCGTTTTCACATTTGTAATATCGAAAGCACCGAATGTTGGTTTTGTTGTTGAACGCATTTTTAGTGCCCGGTTTTCCCATATCGTTTCGAATTCCTTCTATGTTGCTAATATTAATTCGTCTAATCGTTGAAGATCTGTCCAAATTGTTGGCGAAATTATCTTGAATGGTTTATATGTCCCGAAATTCCCGACCCCGTCCGACCCGGAATTATCCGACGCCCGACGGGCGTCCGAGTCCCGAAACTTCCGTATTGCCCGAGCACCCGAGCTCGGGCATTTTCGGGAGTCGGGCCAAATTTTCAATTTCGGGCGGGCGTCGAGCGGTCTTCGGGCACGATCTGGAGCAGTTCGGGCGGGCGTCGGGCCGATTTTTTGGCCCGCTTGCGACCTCTGGTCCCAACTAACACAAAAATGAGCGTCAACGTTCACATTTTTCAACGGCATTATTTTTTCGGATGGAGAAAAAATGCGGTTGTCACCACGATACACGCGTAACTTTTTTATCACCTTAAAGAGCACTCAAAATACTATGAATGCACATATTTTATGTTGGTTGTCCGGTGGAAAATGTTCACACCAAAAAATCTTGAATTTTTTTTTTTTGATTTTTTAAAAATAAATTTTGAAACTTTTGACTTGGCAGCTGCGAGGAATGTGTGTATTTTTACAAAAACCACATGAATGTTAATGACTAATCAAGGTTGACATTTTTTAGTTTGACAGGTGGTGTTAGCACGTCCATTTATATGAAATATCGAAGGCGTCCCAACTAACACCAAATCTCAATCAACACCAAATTACCTTATAAATTATATTTGTGATTATTTCCTTCATTTAGAAATTGGGCTCAATGCGAACCAGTAGCGTTCACTCAACAAAGCGATGACATATTTAAATTTGCAGCACAACACTCCTCATCGGTTCAATCATATTTTGCTGTTCCACATAATACTCCACTAGGAAAATTTCATGGTAACATCAAATTTGATTGAAAACTAAATTTAAAAAAAAAACTTTCGTTAATATTTTGTTTTGTCAGGCAAAAATGCTGTTAAAATATGGATGTTCATTCGGCATGGAAGCCGATCAGCAAAAGAAAAGGAAACCGACCTATTCAAGAAATTACCCACCGTGAGTTCATAGATATAATTGCAGATTTTTCATTGGATTGAGTGTGAGATTCTTTAATTCAATTTAATTTTAATTAATAATTTCGCAGATTCGTAATAAAATGGTTGAGAAAATATCCAATAGCAAAGAAAAATGTCCATTATCAAAACAGAATTGGGAGAATTTGAAGAAATGGCAATGGAATGCTACCTACGATCAAGATCGAATGTTGACTAAAAATGTAAGTTCAATTTTGATGTTTATTTTAAGAAGTTGAAGCAATTAAAAGCGTCTGTAATTACTGATCAGTGAGGTGCTTCAGCATTTATTGGATTTTGTTGTTCGTTTCATTTCATTAGGGTAAAAAAGAGCTTCAGACTGTCGCCCGAAATTATAAAGAAAGATTCCAGCATCTTTTCAAAGGCCCTTATGACAAAGATCATTTCAATGTATTGTGCGCCAATACGCCACGTACCATAGAGAGTTCTAGTGTATTTTTGGACTCAATAATAGGCGAAGCAGCGCGTAAAGCAATTCAGAACGTGGCCGATGACGATGGCGAAGATATAATTAAGGTACGAAATGTTCAATCGTATTGTCTGTAATGCACTACAGCAGCAGAATATTTTTTGCAAAACGGTTTTGTAATGGTCAATACAACAATTGTTCAACAGGCTTATAAAGATGTCGATTTTAATGATAAAAACAAGAAAATCGACGACGATCCAAACTCTGAATCAAATCGATTTCTACGATTGCCGGTGTACACAAATATAATCAAACGAGTCAGTAAAGAGTTTTACTTTGATGTTGAGGATGATAAAACCAAAGCGGAACGAGTCAAGAGCATGTACGATTTATGTCGATATGAACAGTCTTGGGATATTGATGGGAAAAGTGTCTGGTGTTCGGTGAGTATCAATTTCATTGGATTCTCAATGAGGTTGAAAACTAATTGAAATGTTGTTGATTTTTTCTAGATATTTTCGAAGAAAGAACTAGAGGTACTTGAGTATTCAAAAGACTTGAAGGCTTTTTATACGGAAGGCCCATCTGGAAATGAATTGAATTACAATGTACATTGTCTATCCGTTATCGATATGATGAAACATTTGAGTGTTCCCAGTGGGCCCAAAGTTACCGCATACTTCAGCCATTCACCTGCTCTATTGTCGCATCTCACCGCCATGGGTGCATATAAACAGGAACCAAAACTTACAGCAAATAACTATGAAGCGATGTCAAAGCGCATATGGAAAACAAGTACATTTAGTCCGATGGCAGCAAATTTCGTTGGCGTCCTCTACAATAACAATACGGTTAAGTTCTTTTTAAATGAAGAAGAAATGCCCTTGCCAGGATGCAAAAATAATTTATGCGATTTAGCTCATCTTAAAAAGCAATTTGATCATTGCAAACCACAACCAAAAAAACCAAAAAGAGTTAAACAACCTAAACAGAAAAAATAAAAGACAAAAGAAGCTGATTTTCTATCAAATGCTTTGAAATTTTACAGTTGACATTATTCAAATCAAATCTTCAAAATGTTTTACTTTTCCAACAAAATTTCAAATTTTACCCAAGCAATAAAACATCAAGTTATTCGAACATGTAAACCAAATATTTCAAATTCTACTTAAATACTAGGAAAAAGGTTCATTTTTTCCGTTTTATAAAAACTGAAAAAAACACTGTAGCATACACTGAGAAAAAAATGACTTGATTTTTTTAAACCGTAGTTTAAAAAGGCACTTTTAAACGTTTTTTATTGACATGGCTGAAAAAGTTTAAAATTGCCATTTATAGACCTTTTCAGTTACGAAAATAAAAAACGTTTAAAAGTGTCTTTGAGCCATGTCAATAAATACCGTTTAACTTCGGTTTAAAAAAACTAATTAGGTCATTTTTTCTCAGTGTACTATCTGTGGCTTATATTCCCATTGTGCGCGCACATTCATTTTGCATTTTTGGCAAGCGTAGTTAATGTCAACCCTTTGCGAATAGTGTACACACAGATACAGTATTTTTTCAGCTACACTGAAGATATCTGGAGTGTCCATTGTTTTATAACGATCTATCAGTCCGTTTTAGAAAAACAAAAAAAAAAACATGCGCTGCTCATAACATTGGACGAACTCTTTTGTGATTTTTCTTTAGTTCTACACAATCAACGTACAAAGATCGTTTATATCAAGCAGAGCAGCAAAGTTTTTACTATGCTAATTTACATGAAATATTATGTTTGCCAAAATGAAAGTTTTATGGTCTCTCGTACACTCTTTATCGCTAAGATATTGTTAGCATTCAAGTTTTTTTTGTTTGGTCAGATTATTCATGGCGTTGGTTTTGCAAAGATTTATATTTGCGATCGATCCTCTGAAATGTAGCTCAACATCGATCAGTCTACCAACGGCACAATACTGTTTCACAAGTTGCAAGAAATGTTCCAAGTCGAACACCTCTTCGTCTTCGGCAATCTTATTCTTGCGCATCGATTTACCGAAAACCTGGAAGATTTTATTTGTCGTCCAACGAATCTGCATCTTGATTTGGTTTCTTTGCGGTTTTAGTGAAGTCGATCAACTGACCTGTTCGGTTATTAAAGCCAGGAAATATCCGCTCTGCACGCAAAGTTGAAGTAAGTCGGTCACGGTGAGATGATCGAAAATCTTAATTTGAATGTTGACATTAAGTCCGTGGCGTAGTCGATAGTTTTCATCGGGACCAATCATTTTTGGTTCCTTAGATGTCGATGTTTCGTTAGCTAGATCGACCAATTCGCCTTCGTCCGCATCTGTGTCTAAACGACGAAGTTTCTCGCTGTGGGCACTCATTCTGTATACGTGTTTTCTGTGGAATCCTGGAATCAACAAAATCGAATCGAGCACTAGTCAGTTTTTTTCTTCAACTGAAAAAATAGCTGAATCTTAATTTATTTAATCACTTACCAAACACATTGGGCCCAAAATTTTTCTCCGCTATTCAATTAAAAAAGTTTAAATGCAGTTTTGAAGGCCTTCAAGAGTAGATGCTGTTAATGGTTAAAAACTGTCAGATCGGCTTCAACTTGGCCACGATATGGCCATGAAACAGTGTTCCCGATTTGGACCCGACAATGTAAAAACAGGTCAAAATTCAAACGGTCATAATTTATCATTGAAAGGTCAAACACACATGATGAGTAGTTATAAACCTTTCTCTTGGGGTTCCTAACACATCACAAAAAATGGGAATGAATATCTCTAGTCAATAGCTCAAACATTCGTCACATACATTAACCTCAGAAATTTTATATATATAAAGATAGAAGATGAAAGTAGATATAGAAGACGATACCCGCACACCAACAGAGAGAGTGGAGTACGTTTTTCGAGCCGCCTTACTCACGCTCGTACTTCCATTGCGTCTGAGTGATGCGAGCGGGAGCGTTCGCACGATCTCCATTCAAATGGTTCCTTCGATGAATATACTGTGATGTTTGGAATTATGTGTTGCGTGTGTGGTATAAGATGTGTGTGTGTGTTCCTCTCTCACTCTCTCTCTCTCTCTCTCTCTCTCTCTCTCAGTGATTTTTCACCGAGAATATTGATGATGATGGTGTTCGGCCGTTTTAATCGCTGCTATATTTTTATGTTGATTGCCTTTGCAAAACCACGCCGAAATGTGCTGCAATTGCATTTCTTTATATTCATCTGTTGTCGTTGCCGCTGTTGCTTTTCTTCTTCTTCTTCTCATTTTGTCACAAACGAAACCAAAAATGTCAATGAAAATAACAATTTTATCAGCAGGTGGCTTGGTTTGTGTGAAATTCCAATGCAAGTATAAAGAAGATGCAAGATGACCATGAAAATCTTGGCTTGCCTCTCATTATCTCTCGAGCCCATAAAATAAACGAATCGTTTGTGTCTTTAGATAAATGGGACAAACATACCTTTTGGCACCTGAATGTATGTGATTTGCAAAACCAACGAAATTCATTCAAATTTCCCTCCGTACCATCGATTGTCAAATCCTTGTCAGATGGCGCTGGGCTCAGATTTTGGCTGCTTATCTTAAGGCTGGTTCTCATTCTCATCAATTTCAAATTCAAACTTGTTGTGTGTCGTTCGACTTAATCATACGATACAAATGCTATTATTTTTGTTCTTTTTTATCATCGAAAATCAAATGTTAAGCATCTGACCAGTAAATGTGCTTGAAAAGAATGCATATATAACATTGCACAGATAAATCACAGAATAAATAATGAAGAAGGAAGTCGAGCTGTTTAGGTAATTCCACGAAGTGTAAGTGTATGAAAAAAAAAGAATAATGCCAAAACACATGCAGAATTCGAAATCTTGTAGGAAAGCTTAAAAAAACAGCAATCTTTGGACTGGAGTTACTTCTGAGAAGAATGATATTCGACTTAGGCAAGCAAGCGAATCCAATAGATAATTCATTTGGAGTATATGTAGAGTAACATGTTCGGTGTATAGCTAGCTACTGGTTTATAGCGTGAATTTATTTTTCCTTAATGAATGTGATTTTTAAGCTTTTTGTGAAACATTTAAATAGTGCTGGGTTCAGATATTGGCTGCTCACTTTAAAGCTGATTCTCATTCTCATCAATTTGAAACACACACTTGTTATGTGTCGGCACTGTCGTTTGGTTTCCGTTTGTAATTTTTGGTCTTTTTTCCAGCGAAGAATAAAATTTTGAAAAATGCATCTGATCAAAAAATGTGCTTGACAAAAAGTCTCTCTTTTTTTTCCAATAGGATTCTGTGATCGCAATCGCATTCAAATCGTGAACGAAAGTTAAGCCAATTCGATTGGATATTGGAAAAAAAGATATCATGGCATATCATGTAATTTTACCACCAACATTTTATTCTGGAAGGAAAGGAAATGAAAGAGAAACACTCGGGACGTGCATATTAAATTACGTAATTTAGTTCAATTTCATTTAATCTCAAAACAAATCGGTTGATCATTATTAGATGCTTACGAACTTGTATAAGAGCAAAACTGTCAAAACTGAAAGAGTATGGTTGTATAGATGCTTACTAATAGTTCACAAATTTATAAAATGAAGCAGAAATGATGCATCTGTTCACAGCAAAGAATAAAAGTCTACATTTGGGCGTTTTTTCAGCTAAAGACGCATTCAGCCGATAATTCTGCTAGTAATTTGAGCTGCAGGCGAAATTCTGCTTATGATCTAGTCGGTATTTCGTCTGAAACTCCGTTTGCTAGACAAAATATAAGACTGGGCGCCTCTACCAGTCGTAATTCCGCCTAAATATGGACATTCATTTTTTACTGTGTTGAATTCTCGATTTAAACCGAATTTTGGGTGATTTAAACATTTGAAACGTACCAATCAAAATTATGATCGATCGTATTTTATGAAATTATCGGCAAATGTAATAGTCAATATTTTTTCACAGGGATAGTCAGGCAATTTAAACTAATTTTGTGTGATGAACTTTCCGTATATCAAATTACTAAGTTAGTGATACTAACAGTCACTGAGATAGTATTCGGAAAACGACTAAAACTAGCCAAACTGATTGAAATTAAACTTTGTATGAACATAGTCACGTTTATGTAAATGTTTTCGTGTAAATGTTATAGCCAAGCATCTAATTTCAGATATTCTGACTAAATATTGAACTGAACTTAACTCTATTTTGTTTGAGTTTTGAGTCAATCAATTTTCGCTCAAACTTCCGAAATCAGTCAACTGGAATACAGTCACAATATTTACGCAAAGATTTTTCAGCATCATTAAAGTGGTTTGATTTTGTCTGGTGACATAGAGGCTCTATGAGAATTAATTTGGTTCTCATGAACCAATTTTTTCTTCATTTGATTCGTCGGCATTATCGATCGTCAGATTTATTTTAAAATTCCGAATCCGAAAGTAACCGAAACGAGTTCATTATGTTTTTTTGCGCCGCATAAAAAAGAGTCAAAATGCTAAATACACTATCTGTTGTTATTTTTTGGCACAACTGGTTTAATTCGAGACAAAGACCAAATATGATGAAAATGCAAATCTCATATTTTTGAATCGAAAACATACTTCCCCGATAGGTTATTGTTTGGCGACATTTCAAGAGCAAAAACCTAATATCCATATTTAAAAACTATATCAATAATCTCAATTTATAACCATACACGTTCCTTTTCTAATTTTTCAAGTATTTTTTCTTTGATTTAAATCAGAGGAAAAAAACGCAATTTCGAATTTCATTCAAAAACGTTCAGCTATTCCAATGAAAGAAAATGAATGGTTTGGGAAAAAAATCACATGCTGATCTCTTACCGTTTTATGTAAATTTTATACGACTATAAAAATAGACTGCGTATCGAATGAAAACCACATAGTTTAAAATAACAATAATTAAGTCAATTTCAATTTTATTTTAATTCAAACAAAAAAAAAGATCCTCTTACAAAATAATGTTCATGTTGACAATAGCATGGGAAGC